TTGTCAATAGCGTAAATAAGTTAAAAAACGCGGGTCATTCCTTATATGCTCATGTTACTAAATTTTTAGTTTAAAGCTGAATTCCTGTGTATAGGAAACATTTAAGAAAGGAAAAAAAAAACTCAATTGTGAAATAATAAAGTATCTTTGTATAGCAAACAGTTATGAAAAGAAAAATCGAGAACAATGCGAACCGACTTGTAAAATAATTAAGAACTTAAAGGATAAGAGAGAGAGAGAGAGAGCTGGCTTTCGTTATAGCGTTGCAATTTTTCATATCAATTAAGATCATGGTCAAGTACTTTGGCACTGCAATAATTGCGAAATAATATGTCTGAGCGAAAGCGTAATTCAAAGGAAAATTTCTAGAGCAACCGCGGTGCAGAGCGAAGATCAACGATTTCGTAATTTCCTTTACTACAGCTAATTATTAAAGATATTTACTTCACTCAAGATTCGTGTTACGATATTAAGGTAAATTTACACATGAATATGTGTTATGGTTTGAAATTATTCTACCGAATAGAACATGGCTAGGGAAACATAACCGCTGAAATAATTTATGCTTTAAATGCAGTTAATTAAAGTTGTATTAAAGTTAGCTTAGTGATTTGTTTTGATTTTCATTTGAATATTCACTACGATAATGCACTGACAAAAGTAATAAAGTTATTAAATTCAAGTATTTTTATACATACATACGTATACATAGGGTGATTCACCTAATTTGACGACTTGAAATTACTCGTAAATCATTGATCGTATGAAAAAGTATAATTGGCGGAAACGATACAGTGAGGTCGTAAATTAAAGCATTAAGCAGCGACACCGATCGATGTAGCTGCACCCAGAGCCGTTTGTCATTTGTGAATTGATATCTAAAATTTTTGCTTACGATCTTTCATTCAAGATATATACTGTATTAAGTCTCCGTCGCCTTCTGATCAATAGTTATTCCCATATTGATGAAAAATTAAGCTACAGCTGTCAGCGATTAAGGGGCAGACAAATATTTTAAACGCGCTGCAATGGAGGAACCAATTCCAAGTTGACATCGAACGGCCTTGAGACAGGTTCAAGCTCGTTAACACGTTTTTCATTGAACCTTCGCGACGCACAGTGTTTTGCGTATATGGGACAAAACTCATAACTTCTAAGCTATTAATTTTCGACCTAAGTCCTCTAATACTTTTTTGAAGACAATTCTCATATGCATTGATTGGCACATAAGAAAATGTTTTCATTAAAAAAAATTGTAGTGATCTTTATTTTTTTATTGAATAAAAACTTTTTTGTAAATTTTCACTAACGCAATTTATCATCAACTGATTTCAGATGAATTTTTATGTCACGTCATGTCATGTCATGTCACATTTATTCTAATTAATAATATTTAAATAATAAAGTATGCTATACATGATCTGTTCATCCTTGAATTCATATATAATTTACTTATAATATATAGCCAGATCGTTTCAGGATCCCCATACCCGTACGACGTGCGATACTTTTAAGATCTTCGATACGTTTGTATACAGTCGGATAGTTTCGAGATCTCGAAAGGCCCGTACTATTGTCCTAAGACGCTTTCGGGTTCTCGATGCGTATCATATACTGTCGAGAGCTCGTCCGAACTCGACCCAACCCGAAATTCGGGATTCTCGTGAACTCGAGGAACCCGCACACATCATCCCTTTAGAATGGGAGTTGAACAACCCCCTTTATCTAACGTAACGGTTTTTTCTCTCGGGTTTCGATTTCTAGGAGTTAGAAATAGTAATACCAACGTCTGTACGAAATTTCAGCCCGAAAAAACCAATGGTGCTATTTCCACAGGGATGAAGAGATCGAGTGGTCACCCATCCCAACTACCGTCACTGCCCCGTGCAGCTTGACTTCGGTGATCGGACGGAGAGTCCTATGACAACCAGCATAGCGAGCAGAGGAAGATAAGGGAGTCTAACGTTCGGGAGATACTTCAAGTTTAAACACATACTCTCGTCATCCCCCATTGCGAGCAGAGTTGAAAAGAAGTCCAGCATTTGGAACGACAACGTAAGTACTCTAATCGTTCAAAACCACCACCTTGAAGCTTCAAACTGAGCCTACTTAATCAAAACCGAAGGCATTAAAAATGAGGAAGGAATTTATCTTTTTTTTGGAATTGTGACTTGCTTGGTCTGAGAACAACGGAATATACATGACGTTGATGCACGATCACGAAAGTGACCTGAGAATGTTGCGCGTTATGAGTTAGACTGGAGCACTTGTATTCGTGCGTTAGGCAATATAAAACGTACAGCGCTCGGGAGGATCGCCGAGTCTTTCGAAATACACGAACGAATTATGTTCAACAAGTAAGGATAATAATCTCAGGCGCAATAATGTTCCATCTTGTAAACGACCGACAAGGTGCAGCGGACAATGATTCAAACGACTTCAAGACTGTTCCTCGGCGTAATTGTCGAATATACACCGGTGAGCTAAAGTAAAAATCGAGGAGGATCTTGTACTGTAAAAAATGACACCCTGAGTTTTAATGATTGCCTAGGATAAGTTGGCTAATGATAAGTTCCTCCTTGTTAAGAAAAATGTCGTGAAATTAAGGCCATACGTGTTGATTGCACGATTATATCGTGAGACGGTGTTTCTGCAAAGAAGCAAACCTGCTGAGGCAACAATTGTATAATTTACTTAACGAAGCATTATCTATTTAATTTATTTTATTGTTAGATCAGTCAAACATGAGGCAAACCTGGTATTTTAATTATGCTTCTTCTGAACTATAGGAATGGTTTAAAAAGTCTCTGTGTTTCTTACGTGTTCTTGATGTAGAAAGTAGACCAAGGTATTTAGTGAAATTGAATTGTATAATATTGAAGAGAAACAATTGTTTTTAATAATTATTACGGATACTTTTTGAATTTAATTTAGTTGCATTAAAGGGCACCTCTAAAATAATATAATTTTAATTTTACTTAGATTTTTTTCAGAAGATAATAGTTATTATGATAACAGAACAAAACAAGTGTGATATAGTAAGGCATTAAAGAAACGAAGACACTTGTCGCCTTGGCTTTTTCGCGGCAGACTCCCATAAAAGCTATTAAAATTTTCGTTTGCTTACCGTGTTTCTGATTTTAATTAGTATTGTCGCCCTTTCGTGATAGAAATTGCATAATTTACAGTCGAAGAGAATTTCGACACACATTGACGAATAAATTAAAAATTATTTGATCTCTATGTTATATCTTTTCAATCTAACGAAAGATTTCTCTTTCATTTCTCTTATTACCAATTATGTATACGTACATATTTGTTCAGGTAATATTACCAGAAACGAACGGTTCAAATAGATAATTTCACTTTCCATCCCAATTAGCTTCAACTATCGAGTTAACGATGTCACGAGAGTACACACGGAATAATTCATGTCTACCAAGCTTAACAATCGATCACTGCGGTGGAAGTAGTACGAATGTTAATACTACTGTGAGTAAGCGATGATAAGCCGCACGAACAGAGCGGTATGTTACATTGGTATAAATTGTTAAGCTAACGAAACCGCTTCCATTGAACTGTCAAGCATTTTGTTTTGCATACTTTCCGTTACTTTTTTCTGCTAACTTCACCAGAGTGTGTTATCAACGAATCAACGGTTCGCTACGAATAGATACATATGCCTGATTAGAAGCGTATATTTTTGAAAATCGCTGGAATCAGTTTTAGGACAATCCAATCTTTGATTATGTGCATGCTAAGGGGCAAAATATAGCGAAATATTTGAGTTGCGTTTAAGTAAAATTGGTGCACTTGTACGAATCGATAAATGTTTTTCAATTTTAAAGGTATTTGAAGGTATTACTTATTATTAGGTAATTTAATCTATTTTGATAGCAGCTTTGACGTGATAAGATTCGAAATAAATGACTAACATAGTTTAGTGTACATGATGAATATAGTAATTGTGGTCTTAAAATCTTTAAAAAGTATAATTTTTAGATTGATAAATGACTCAGTGGCCATAGTATATAATTTATGTATAATTCTTAAATTCGAAGTATAGTAAAAAATGAAAAATATTGCTACATTAAAACATCTAGTAAGGCTAATTATTATTTAATCCTCAAAATTATGATTCAAAAGAATTTGGAAATTATTGTTAAAAATACTGACGTTCTGAAATAATCTAACATGTCAGTCAGTTTGATATCACGAAATATGCTATCTTAGACAGTTTTACTTAATATTTATCAACTTTAATAGAGCTACCTAAGAAAAATCTACATTAACACATATGATAATTCATTGTATTCATAATCTCACATTCTTATTTTTTTTACGTTACGATTAACCCTGAAATCGAGGTAATTTATCAATCCAAACATTTAATTTACAAATCTATTTCTATAAAATATAATTTAATATCAGTCCAAACAGTGAGTTCAAGTTTTTAATTTGTCGCTAAAATTTAATTTCCAGAAAATATTTTACATCTATTTCTAAAAAATACAATTTAGCAATATTCACAGATAACATTTTACTTAAATAAACTCGGCGAAAAAAACAATAACGATTTTCAAGGATTTAGTTCAGCTATCAGTTCCACCTTGCTATCGATGTCACGTTTATTCACCTACTTGTTACAGTTGTCCAAGTGGTTAGTATGCTGTGAAAAAGTTTCGCGAATGTTTGGATTATTGTTACGATGATTTTGGTTACACAGCATACTCCTATAACATATCAAAGTGCCGTGTAGAATTTCCCCTTCCAGAAGAAATACTTTTCTGCGCACGTATAAAACCAGTGAAAGTGCCTAGCGGCCCTCCAGATCATCGTACCGAACGATAGCGGTAGGAGCTCTGCCGACTACCGTCACGGCAGTCTCAGATTGATAATTAACGATCTTTGATAGTAAATCGGACAGTTCGTTAACGGAATTGAAAGGATCGGTCGTGTGTCACTTGTGTCTCGATACATTGAATACTCTCGTCAACCATTTGTGATTAGACAGCCTGAAACAGGAGTGATAACAAAGATGACAGTTACCAAAATTTTGATCGTCGTGTCTTTAATTGGAGCGCATGTGTTGGGATATCCTCCGCAAGGAAGGCTTATGCCAGGTAGGTTCATTCATTTTATACTGATATTACAGAATTTTAAGCTGTTAGTTTCTTGGCAATACAAGTAAACATTTGGATCTGTTGTGTTAATGTGAATTAAAAAATCTATTTAAGGTAGACTATATTTGAAATTAGCGAGATTGTATTGAACTTTCTATTTTTCTTAATTTGTACTTCTGTAAAGTGAAGTGACTTTCTTAAAATAATTAAGCGTTATAGTATTTAGAAGGAATTCTTTTTGAAGAAGAAAATGAACGAACGATAAAATGTTACTGTGTTATTGGAAGATTCAAAGACTTTAGATAAAAGTGCAAATTATTAAAAGGATAAAGTATTTTATGTGTCACACCAACTCTACCTTAAATATCTCCATTATTTCAAGAAATGAGTAAAAAAGTTGTTTGGAGACTTTTAGAAGAGACCTCGACGTGAATTTTATTTTTTTAAAATAGACGCCCAATTTTCGATGATAAAATCCGATAGAATAACAAATTTTTAGTATAAAAGTACCTTTATCCTAAATCTCGTCATTCCTTAGATATTTAACTTCCATCCTATTATGTACTTTCACTGTGAAAACATGTTTGAAGCTATACACAACACTTCAGATATAAACAAACAGCGGTTAGTAAATACCGTGAAATGACATTGTTAAACTTTCTACGTTTCTCAGTATAAATAAGTTCCTCGTTCAGTGATCGTAACGTTATCGACATCAAATTTTCATTCACGAAGAACGAGTAAATATGTTCGTTACTTATGGAGAAAGTGAGAAAAATTCAGCCAGGGCACAAGCTTTGCATGCTGAAAGATATATTCGAGCCGCACGTGTTCTTCGCACCGGATGCTCGAAAGGTTGTGTCGAAAATTGAAAGAAACCGGAAGTCTCGTTGTACGAAAAATTCTGCGACCAGCGGAGACAATGAAATTAATGTCCTTGCGATGGCGAATCGTGACCCTCGCGTTAGTGTGCGACAGATTAAACGTCAGTCTTGAATCAACAGTTGAATACTCGTTTGTCACAAATATCATCCGTATTATATGTATTAGCTTTCACCAGAAGTTACGCGGCGTGGATGTTGCTAATCGTGTCAGATTTTGTGTACGGGTTCAAGAACAGTTACAAATTGATTCAAACTTCTGTTTGATGTTAATCGCCGATCACTGGTTACGACAAAGTGGACATCGACGGTGAGTTTTGGGGTAAACGTACTTTAGCGCTTTTATACTGGAAATTCGCTGTTTTATCGAATTTGACAATGAAAAATTGAACGTTCCATTTAAAAAAATAAAAATGCCGAAGATACTATTGGCACTATGGTACGTCTTTCTTGCAACCGTATAATTTTTGTAAGCAATGTTTTCACTCATTTCTTGAAATAATGAAGATATTTCATGAAGTTATTTTATTTCGATGAAAGAAGAGTAAAATTGACATTTAACATTTAATTTTAGTCACATTCACGGCGAAATTTTACTAATTTCACCCCAATTAGATACAGTATTTTTTACCAATTTTTTAACCTACGGTCACCGTTACAATTTTACATCCGTGAAATTTCTCAAATTACCCTCGAAAAATTCCTTACTACATGCTGCTGTTTTCAAATTTTAACAGATTTTTGCAAATTACTGTAATACACTTTTTCAATTAAAATCAAACATGTTTCTTTTGCTTTAATGCACAATGAAGAAACAGTGTATTAATATTCCAGCAGGCAGAACTTTAATTCATAGTTACTGTACACGCATGATTATATTAACGTTGAAATTTATTTAAATTGGTTCGAAATTAGCAAAGTTTATAAAAGTATCGTGGCATTGAAGCTTTGTCCATGAAATTTCAAATATTGTATACACAGATTTCGTTACTTTTGGAACAAACACATATCCGGTACATATTAATTAATCAATCACGCATCGAATAAAATCCGCATCTTTTGTCTGTAACATTCATTCAACGTTCTTTCGTATAATTACACTACAAATTTCAGCTGGAATCTGTTTTTAAGAGAAAAGTTGAGTAAGGTGCTTAAAATTTTCTAACAATGTAACTTACCATACATTGTTTCGCATCGGTAAACTTGATTTACTGGACGTAGAGTAGAAAAGCAAATTCTATAAAATTTACTGCCCTTAATCGTAGTAATTAACTTGCCAGGAGCGTTAATCTTCCTTCTCCTTCCCTTTCATTTCTTTCCTCTTACATTCACCTTTATTCTAGACAATTACAACCCTACCCTTTTTCCATTCTTCGTTTCTCTTTCGCTCTTACGAAAGTAGAACACTTCCTTCTACAGATGCTAATCGTGATAATCTCACGCAGTGTCCCGTCTCTTCAGTACGTGACAGCATTCAAAATTGTTCTAGTACAATTCCCTTCTTCGCCTTTTCCACCGTCTCATTTTTGCCAGGGCTTTGATTTTTCAACTATTCTCGAAATACTGACAGAACCGGTTCTTCTGCTCTGTGTCGCTTCTTTTGTAAAGAAATTCCATTAAACGTGAATATTTTCGCCTGCTATTTTAGTCGCGGTTTGTTTTATTTGTTACAAGAACGTGCTATTATTTTTGGTCGTTGATACAAGTCTGAGGAATGATCAGTCAATTTTCACTTTTCGGTAGAAAATTTTTATCACAGCTTAATACAAAGATAGGTATATTGCATTTTGTAACGGAAAAGCTCTCCATACGTAGAAAATATTTGGTGTTGAAGCAACTTCTTTATTTTTGTCGTTGATCGTGCCAGATTTCCATGCAATCTAATACGTTTAAATCTTCGTAACGCAATTTTAATTAGCCAAGGTGCCATGAAACGAAGGTTAAAAGTTCTCATGAGCACGTTTCGTTTATTACCCTGCGACAAGAGTGGTTTACTGACGGGTTCGATGATGTTCTTAGATTACCCACGTCTACGCATACGGCTATAAAACAATGATTGCACTTTCGCAAACAAATCATATCATGCACTCATACTACAGATAATCCATATTTTTTTTATCGTTCCACGTCAGTATATCTCTGAAATATCACCTTTCACCTCGTTGAGAAACGCGTTAAAACGAAGAGAAACGAATTCTTGAACTTGTGAAATCGCGATGTTCCGTATCACTTCTTACTAAACTTCATATCACTATCTTATTGTTTTCAGCGTTGTTGTTTTCATCAGATGGTTATATTACACAACGTCTTTACACGAAACAGTAACTTTCTCGAAGCTTGTGAAACTTATTTTAAATTACCATTTAATTATGCTCGACTTTCCAGTCCGAAACGAGATTCTCAATCGTGCAATTTGACTAAATATTAACTCTGAATACAACCGTGAACCCACGAGTGTTCGTCCAACGAACTTCCAGCTTCTCCCACTTACTTCGATTATTCAATTTATCGATAAACCTTATCTCTAGTCTAGCCGATAAGATTCGCGTGTGCGTGGGCAACGTAAGTCGAGGAAATTACACGCTTTCCGTGTGGCACGTTCTGTTGTCAGTTGTTGCCACGCGATACTATGTCTGGGAATAGACAAGAAGTAGCGAGCAGAGAGATTTTTTTCAAGGAAACTGCGATACAGGAGCAAGGGCGACGAGCACCACCAAGTGGTGGACCAAGTGGGTAAAGCTCAGAGTGACGGGCGTCGATGGAGAAACTAGCAGCGATGATGTGGGGCAACGAAGGATAATAATAATGCCCCCATTAGCACGTCGAAGTCTAGATCACGTGCGGCACGTGATTCCACGTGCTTTTGCACGTGCTGTGCGCGGTGTACAGGCGCGATCAAGACCGGAAAGAGAACCGCGAAGAAAGAAAGAGAGTCACGCTCGTACGCCTTTCCTCGTACGGGTTAATACCATCGAAGGAAAAGTGTGACCGAGTCACGTGCATGCGTCAGCCACTCAACTCGATTCACGCGACCGGCTGTCCTGTCAATTAACCACGGCGTCGTCTTCACGGCTCGTGTACAACATACACCGCTACAAGGCCACCTTCAAACTCGTTTCGCATCGAGGGTCGGAGACGCGTTTCTCTAGAAAAATACATTTCAGGCTTAACGTCCGTTCGCTGTAGCAACATTTTCCTGATTATCGCGGATAATTCAGGTGGACAGTGGACGTTTTTATTATGGGGAATGAGATATATTCGCAGTTATGGGGAGAAACTGTGGGAGTGGAAAACTCAAATCCATTTAACTTATAAGACAAATATATTTATTTATTTGCAGTAATAGACTAAAATTGGACACCCGGTATGTACATGTATGTAGAGAGGATTTGCAGTGCTTTTTGTAGTATTTTGTGGGGAGATAATAGTGAAACCTTTGTTTATATAAAATTCGTCAATATGGAGAAGAATATTTAATAATTGAATTCAATTTTTGTGAAATACGTAGGGTTGTGGGTTTAATTTTTGTACCATGAAAACAGAAAGTGTTATAATTTTGAATAATTGAAGCAATTGAAGTTGTGTTCCTTTGAATATTCATATTTCCGGAAAATGGCGAGTACTAGGGAAAGTATGTTGTGTACGTACTTAAAAGAAAAAATAACAAGTGTGATATTGTTGTATTATTTGTAGAAATTGAATAGGTACGACAATCTGATAAGAGGTATTTCTGTACGAAGGTAAAGTAACAGCTTCATTTTTTAATGAAACTGTGTTGAATGTCAACGACTTGAGTAGGCACGTGCACGTGACTACACCGACTTCAGACCTCTCTTTATGCGTTTATATTTCTAAACGTTGGGAATGTTCATTGTCATAAAATATCAGGCTTTATGAATAAATGTCGTCTCTGTGGAATTGATCGTAATGATAGAATAACTTCGCCATTGCGATTCATGGAAAAGTAGGAACCTCTTACAAAGTCATATTAAGCTCTCTTATGTTTCACTGTGGAATTACAGATAGAAAACTGTTCTTAATTTCGAACATTTGAAAATAGAAAGAAGTTATTTCTAACAATTTTTACATTAATTCAAAAAATAATTCTTAAACCAAAGA